GACCATGCCACACCTCACTGTGACGTCCCTAGGCTTAGCAATGTGGCTATGGAAGTTCTTAACTTTTGTACAAAAACTAGCGGCTATAATTTTGCGATCTCCTTTTCTAGAATGACGCACTTCCCACATAACTGGGAGAGGCCATCAGGTGGTAAAACATAGTCGGGTTCCTTCCGTTCCGGTCCTGCATCAGTCAGATTGAACGAGCTCTGCCGAAGGCTGGAGTAAGACCACAGCCCCATATGCCTGAATATGGGTATGAGAGCATCATAGCTGATATCTACTGTACAAATATGTTATCATATAGTGCAAGTAGTCTTACTTGCTTTTGCCATGGTAAGCGAAAACATAAAAGGCATCTTCATCTTTCACAACAACATCTGCAGCGGGACGAATATCTTTTGCATCCATATCCACGTATAGATATCCGACCTGAAAGATGTTTATTTGAGAGGGTAGCTGAAAATTAACGAGCTTAGTAGCAACAATATTCTTGTCAAATTAGAATGGTCCGGGTTGATTATCAGCAAGTACCGTTGCCGTCAAGCTATCTAACACGCAGGCGTATGAATGTCAACGCTACTGCGAGGAGCAGACTTCTTTCAGTCTTGGTGACCACAAGAATGCTGCTGTAAGCCAACTAACCCAGCTTGGAATCGATCCGGACGTCTTGCTAACTTGGCAAAAATGCTATTCTTTCACATCATCTGGGAAATGCCACACCTAAACCTTGTGCGCGCAAATTCTGATATACATACCATGGTAGATTTCAGTTCAAAAGCTGACTTAAAGGACGAATTCACGATGAAAAAGCAACCCATTTCAAATTAACCTAGGGATGGTGAGTGGTACACGAAAGAAGGAAGAACCATGAGAAACGGCCCAGAACCCGAGAAATGGGACCCCTTCCTTGCCCGTTGATTTGAGCATTGATGCGACTCTCATCGCTGTGCCCTCTTCAACACTACGCTCTCTCTCGCCACGTATTGAACTACGGCGAGTGATCAGATGATCGGTGGGCGGAGATCGCCGGACCCGCCAGCTTTGAGGCATGATAGGTCGCCGAGGTCAAATTTTTCCATGCGAATTGCGCGTCAGTTCGCACCCTCAGGAGGTCCGTGGGTCCCTCAACTAGGTCAGTTTCCCTTTCTTCGACCTTCATTCTAATCGTGAATTCCTCCTTTAAAGCGATGAACTACGATCAAGAGTGTGTGCAGCATGAAAATACATGCACCAGCGGAAACAGTAGCCAAGCCCCTTAGATGGCGAGATGTAGGCTTTCCACAGTCCAAGGTGCGCTAGTTGCAACGCACGAGCTTGCTCCGCTCTATGCACCGCTTCCGCCTCCCACGAGTGCTGCCGACAGCAGCATCATTCAGTCATCCTTTCGAAAGAGTACTTTGAGCGATTTCATCCTATTAGTCTTCTGTGAAATGCGTTATCAATCGAAGCGTTTTCCTTGCTAGCATGATATCGGCTATCGGATTGAACCTGCAAACGATCCCTTACTTGATTGCTGGATCGTCCTTTATCAGTGTCAACAGG